CTCAGCCTCCCAAATTGCTGGGATTACAGGCCTGTGCCACAGTGCCAGGATATGTTTTTTAATTTCTTTTTTGGGTTGGGGGGATACTGAAGATTGAACTCAGGGGCACTCAACCACTGAGCCACATCCCCAGTCCTTTTTTTTTTTAATATTTTATTTTTTAGTTGTAGTTGGACACAATACCTTTATTTCACTTATTTATTTTTTTATGTGGTGCTGAGGATCGAACCTAGGGTCTCGCGTGTGGGAGGCACTCTACCGCTGAGCCACAACCTCAGTCCCCCAGTCCTTTTTTGTATTTTATTTAGAGACAGGTTCTCACTGAGTTGCTTGGTACATCACTTTTGCTGAGGCTGGTTTTGAACTCACGATCCTCCTGCCTCAGCCTCCCAAGCCTCTGGGATTACTTGTATGTGCCCACTGTGCTCAGCTGTTTTTTAGTTTTTCTTTTTAAATTTTTTTTTTTATTTTTATTTTTTGTCATTTTAGATGGACAGCATGCCTCCATTTTATTTGTTTATTTTTATATGGTGCTGAGAATCAAACCCAGTGCCCCACTCGTGCTAGATGAGTACTCTACCATTGAGCTACATCCCTAGCCCTCGGCTGTTTTTCCAGCTTAAAAAAAGGGTCTTGCTAAATTACTAAGGCTAGCCTGGGATTTGTGATTCTCCAGCCTCAGCCTCCCAAGTTACTGGAATTACAGGCGTAGGCCACCATGCCCAGCAGGTAAATTTTACCTTTTAAAAAAAAGAAAAAACTGCTAGGTAGGTGTGGTGATACATGCCTCTAATCTTAGCAACTCAGGAGGCTGAGGCAGGAGGATCTCCAAGTTGGAGGCTGGTTTCAGCAACTTAGCAAGGCCCTAAGAAATTTAGTGAGACAGTGTCTCAAAATTTCAAAAAAAAAAGAAAAAGAAAAATGGGGACCAGGGATATATTCAGTGGTTAAGAGCTCTGTGTTCAAAAACATGGTACCAAAAAGAAAGAAAGAAGGAAGGAAGGAAGGAAGGGAGGGAAGGAAGGAGGGAGGAAGGGAGGGAGGGAGGGAGACTTTAAACAGCAGGCCGAGCTCATGCCTGAAACCAAGTATTCAGGAAGTTAAGACAGGAGGATTGCAAGTTTAAGGCCAGCCTGGACCACATAGCTGAGACCCATCTCAAAACAAAAAATGTAAAGGGCTGAGAGGTAGCTCAATGGTAGAGCACCCTTGGGTTCAATCCCAGGGACCACCACTCAAAAGCAGAACAAAAGAAAAATCCTATAAACAAAGGCTGAACTTTAAAGCTATGCACGTTGGAGCCCTTTAGGGGGAAGTACGCTGATGTCTATAGTGACTTTCCATTAAAGTCATCCCTCAGTATCTGTGGAATGGCTCTGACAGCTGCCTACATCCAAAGTCCAAGGATACATAAATCCTTTGTATATAATTGTATAAGATTAGAATACAACCTACACACATCTTCCTGTATATATTATAAAATATGTATTTATATAATGTATACTTATACATAATATAAATATAATATATACTTATATACAATATACAACATAAATATATATTTACATATGTATATAAAATATGTATATTAAAAAAATTTTAGTACTGAGAATTGAACCCAGTGGTGTTTTACTACTGAGCTATACTCCCAGTCCTTTTCAATTTTTGAGACAGGATAAGTTGCTTAGATCCTAGCTAAATTGCTGAGGCTAGCCTCCAACTTTTGATTCTCCTACCTTAGCCTCCTGAATCCTGGGAATACGGGCATGTGACCCTGTCCCTGACTTATTGTATACTTTAAATCATCTTGAGGTTACTTATAATACCTAATAAAATGTAAATCTTGTGTAAATAATTGTAAAATAATATTATTTGGGGAAAAATGACCCCCCAAAAGGTCTGTATATATTCAGTACAGATGTAATTTTTCTTCAAAAAAAAATTTTTTTTTTTGAAGGGGAGTACCTGGGATTGAACTCAAGAGCACTCAACCACTGAGCCACATGCTCCTGCCTCAGCCTCCTGCTCCTCTGGGATGACTGGTGTGCGCCATCGCGCCCAGCTCAATTATTTTTAGTCTACAGTTGGTTGAATTCAGGATGCAGGACCTGCAGTCCTGGAGAGCCAATGCTTTCAATGAAGACTGCAAGTAAGGATGTAAAGACACTTCCATCTGACCAAGTGTCTGCTGTGGGGGACCTGGCCTCTGCTGATCCTCCCAACCCTCCCAAGCCATCCCCTCTACCTTCCTCAGTTCAGTGGGTCAGCCCAGGTACCCCTGGGCCTCAGGGCATGGCGCCCAGGGTGAGGGGGCCTGGAAACCAGCTGCTCTCATCTTCAGTGAGTTAATGACTACAGAACTTCCTGATTTGATTGCATAGCTCAAGAAAACCCTCTGGCCTCTCAACTATTCTGCTTTTCTCTTTCTTTGCTGGTAGTTAATTTTTTTTTTTTGACTGTGGTCAAGTATTCACACATCCCGATCTTCTTTATCAGATTGTTATGGAGGCTGAGGCTTCTTTGTTCACCATTATTCCCTATACCTGAGTTGGTGCCGGGTCCATGAATAGTTAAGCACTGAAAATAATGTTTGCTATGCTGGGGATGGTGCCATGGGTCTATAGTCCCAGACACTCAGGAGGCTGAGGCTGGAACATTGATTGAGCCCAGGAATTGGAGGCCAGCCTGAACATTGTCTTGAAAAAAGTAAATAGTTAAAAGGCAAATTAGAATAAGATACCACTTTCATTTGAAAGATGGGCAGTTTTAAAGGATTGGCCATATTGAGAGTTTGATTAGGACCTGGAAAAAACAGAACACTTGTACATATTATTGCAATAGGTAGGTTGAAGCATTTGTTCAAATGTACAGTGTTTGATAAACATTGATCAAGCAATTTCATTCATGTGTATTTCTTCTATAAAGCACAGAAGCACAAATATATACAACAGCGTTCTCAGAAGTTGTTCCAAGTATTATAGACACCTTTCAGGAGGAGGTTGATTTAAAAAAAGGAGAGCACACTCATAAAATGAAATTCTATACTATGCAGCCATTATAAGGAATAGTTAATATTGGAAATGATGACTGGTAGATATTTGGTAAGAAAAGTTGTAGAAAAGTGTAAAGCATAATTCCATTATGTTTTTTAGAAACCCTACACATGTAAATGCAAACAAAAACTATAGTATTTTTAAAAAATGAGAGTAGAAAGTAAATAAACCAAATTGTTAATTAGGATTACCTCCCAAAGTGGGGATGGCCATGTTAGGGGTGGATGAGGGAAAGAGGCATTTCCACTTTTGTTTGTTTCTTTAAATTATTGAAACAAGCAGGTCTTACAGTTTAAAAATATATATATATATACTTAAAATACCCTAAACTCTTGTTTGCAGAAAAAAACTCTAAGGTAAGGTATATGTTGCTTCTGCTAAAATAAAGCTACAATTCTTAGCAAAGCACTGTGGCAAACAACCTGTAATCCCACTCTGAAGACTGAGGCAGGAGGGTCTTAAACATAAGGACAGCCTTAGCAATTCAATGAGACCATGTCTCAAAATTAAAAGGCTAGGGATGTAGCACAGTGGTAGGATTGAACCCCTGGGCTGGGTTCAATCCCCACTAAAACACACACACACACACACACACACACACACACACCCGACACACGCTTGCTTTTTCTTTTTAAAGCTAAAACTTTTGAGTGCACCCCCCCCCAAAAAAAAGCCTTAGGATGAGCTAACATCCATGGATCACCTGTATGTCTTTATCGAAGACTTTAAATTCTACTCAAGGTCTGAAAGAAGAAGCTACAGTTAATGAAAGTAGGTCTGTGTTTATCATCACTAGCAATTAAAGAAATGCAAATCAAAACCACTGTAAGATTTCATCCCACTCCAGTCAGAATGGCAGCTATTATGCATACAAACAACAATAAGTGTTGGCGAGGATGTGGGGAAAATCGTAAGCTCATACACTGATGGTGGGACTGCAAATTGGTGCAGCCAATATGGAAAACAGTATGGATATTACTTGGAAAATTGGGAATGGAACCACCATTTGACCCAGCTGTCCCTCTCCTTGGTCTATACCCAAAGGACTTAAAAACAACATACTACAGGGACACAGTCACATCAATGTTTATAGCAACACAATTCACAATCACTAAAGTGTGGAACCAACCTAGATGCCCTTCAGTAGATGAATGGATTAAAAAAAAGTGACATATATTCACAATGGAATATTACTCAGCAGTAAAATAGAATAAAATCATGGCATTTACAGGTAAATGGATGGGATTAGAAAAGATAATGCTAAGTGAAGTTAGCCAATCTCAAAAAAACAAATGCCGAATGTTTTCTTTGATATAGGGAGGCTGATTCATAGTGGGATAGGGAGAGGGAGCATGGGAGGAATAGACGAACTCTAGATAGGGCAGAGGGGTTGGAGGGGAAGGGAGAGGGCATGGGGTAATTAATGATGGTGGAATGTGATGATCATTACTATCCAAAATGCATGTTTAGGGGCTGGGGTTGTAGCTCAGCGGTAGAGCACTCATCTAGCCCATGCGAGGCCCTGGGTTCGATCCTCAGCACCACATAAAAGTAAGTAAAATAAAGGTATTGTGTCCAAATACACCTAAAAAATAAATATTTTAAAAAAGAAAAAAGTACATGTATAAAGACACAAATCCGTGTGAATATACTATGTATACAACCAGAGATATGAAAAAAATCTGTCTATATATGTAATAAGAATTGTAATGCATTCTGTTGCAATATATAAATAAAAATAATAATAATTAAAAAAAAAAAAAAAGAAAGTGGGTCTGAAGTTCAGGGGTGGGCATGCTCCCAGAAAGGAAGGGACTAAGAACTTATTCTGCTTTTCCAAGTAAAAGATCCTCCCACAGAGGTGCTTGGAGCTCTGAACAAGTTTCCATGGGTACTCCTCTCTTCTTCGATTTATTAGCTAAGATCTAAATCTCAAAACAAGGAGACCAAGAAGCCCTGGGGTCCATGTTATTTCCATCTCGGCTTTGAAAATATCGAGCCACCTCTCATTTAGGATCATCTTTATGACTAGGAAAGGGGTGTGAACACAGGCGGCGCGGACCCTCGCCACCGTGTCTAGAGCGTGCGTAGGAAGGGATCCGGTTTGGCCCGTAGCTGGCGGCCCCCGCGCGGGAGGAGACGCAGCGGTCCCTGTCCTCGAGGCCTCAGATGTCAAGCCTTCTCGTTCCCCACCGCGGGACCAAGGGGGAGGCTGCAGGGTCATGTTCCCCGGACCTAGAAGGGGGCTCCGCCAGCTTGCAGAGGAGGGTCAGGGCTAGAACCCAGGGACACGCTCGGCCTTCGCCCTCCCCCGCCAGCTTCGGGAACTTTCTGGCATCACTTAGCCGACTGGGTGCTTTGTCCTTTGCCGACCCCAACATTATTTAGCAACCAAACCACAGCCGGGCCCAGGGTGAGGGTCTTCCCGCCCAGAGGCAAGTCGCTAGTTCCTTTTAGCCAAGGGTAAACGGCGGCGGACGACTGGGGTGGCTAGGAACCGGCCAAGGTCACCCACCTTTACAACGGTTTCCCCCACCCTAGATGTTTCCATCTGTGAATGTGAATAGAATTAAGCTCTCCCTTTTCTTCTTCAAAGGCCGGCATGCGGAATAAAAATATGGTCGTTGAGCACCGGTACCGGTTTGGACTTTGGTTTTCAGAGCCCAGTGCTTCCAAGGTCGCAAGTATTAGTCAGAAGGGTCACAGGAGACGATACGGGGTGGGGGATGGGGGTGGCCCTTTGTGGTTGAAAGTCACTTAAGGCCCCAAACGACCATCTCCTTACTAGGTGTCGGTGACCAATGTCCACCTGATCACCTGGCAGGTTTGACGCCACCCTGGATCAGGTTCATCTCTTAGGAACTCGAAACCGAGAGACAAGAGCGCAAATCTAGGATGGGGGTCCCCGCTTTGGGGACGCCTGTTCAGGGTGGGTGTGAGCGCAGAGGTGATTACTAGCGACCCTTGCCCAGCTTTGGGCTCACAGAAGCCGCAAGCCTGGAGCGGCAATAGTGCCAGCCTCAGAATGCGGGTAGCAAGCGCTCTCCACTAGAATCCGGGGAGGGTTTGGAGGACTGATGAGTTAAGTGGACGACCTCTGGGGACCCTGGGGCGATTCGAGTTCCGGCCAATGACTGCGGTGGGCGGGGAGAAGGTGGACCTGGGAACATGCGTGGGCCGGATCCCTTCCCTCGCCCTCTAGGTGCCGGCGGCCCCGCCCGCCCACCCTTCTTTTTAAACCCGCTGGTCCCTAGAGGCTTGCCGGAAGTCTACTAGTCCCTAGCGCACGCCCAACTCCTGGGTCCTGGACAGTTGGATTCCCAGAGGTAGGTGACCCTGGGTAGGTGACCCAGTGTTCCAGGCTGCTCGCTAGCGCAGTTGGTTTGGATGGTCTTTTTTGTTCTCGCGGGGGCTTTTTCTCCTAATGTCTTTCGACCCCCAAGTTCCGGATCCTTGGGGTCGGACGTGGCCGGGAGGAGGCTGGGGAGGAGACCGGGAGATGCGTGTGTCGGCTGACCTCTTCTCCTGACCCGGTGTTCTTTAATTTCTGAGTCACGACCCTGGTTGGTTTCTTTATTGGGCTCATTGATCTTGTCCTGAAGACCCGGCAGCCCCGAAGGGGCTTCAGATTCCTCAGCCTTGGTGAACTTGCTGCCCTTCCATTAAAACAGTTCTTTTCCCGGCGGGGACCCTGGAGGCAGCGCGGGGACGGGCTTCTTTGCCTCCCTGGTCTGGACCCGGACCTCGCTGGGTCCTGAGAGGCGACCTGGTTCCCCTTAAACCCTAGGTTGGGATGACTGGAGTTTCCGAGGGAACTGGGAGATGTGGAGGGACTCCGCCGGCGTGAAAAACAAGAGGCCTGGCTGCGAACTCCCCGGGAAGCCGAAGCTGGTGCTCAGCCCCCCTGCTTGCAGCCGGGACACCAAGTGCTTCGGGTTATACCGCGGGGCTTGCAGCCCGGCACATATTCCTCGGACTTTCTTGGAACTCTTGTCTACACGGTTCGACTCCGGACCTTTGGCTCTTCTTTCCCTGCTAGGGACCCGAGCGTGCCTGGAGTGACCGCCTGTCCTGAAGCCCTAGCACGGTTTTGCGCGAGGCTCCCGGTACCCGCTCCGCTGGTGGAAAGGTCCGGTGGTTCAGACTGGTCCTCTTAAGAGTTTTGTTGAACAGGGAAGGAGGGAACAGAAATTTAAACAAGTTTGCCGGAACCGGGTTGGGGGGTCGAATGCAGAGAGGGGTGTTGGAATCCAACAGTGCTTGGTCCAGGTGCGTTTGGAGAGGAAACGCGAAGACGATAGTATCCAAAAACCTGGAGTCGGGCGGGATCCCGGCCAATTTTCGTTTGGTGATTTTTGTATTTGTTTTTATTTGATAGGTCTGGCGGGATCGAATTGGGAAGTTTATCCAGTTAACTGCGATCTGGGGTAGACTTGGGTGGAAGAAACCAGGCGGGCAGGAGCACCGCCAGGGACGCGTTTGCTTTCCCGCGGACTCGCACAGCGTTGCCCGCAATGGCTCTGTGGGCACCAGGTGAAGCCGAGCTCCAAGACAAGGTGTGCTACCCACTCGAGAGGTTCCAGAGCACCCCCCAACAACTGGCTGCCTACTACCCGCCTTTTTCTGCCTATGGGCACTACAGGAGTGCCTTGTCCAGCACCGAGGAGGATTTCCAGCCACTAGGGCGTCTGGAGGCAGCGGTGTCTGCGTCCCAGGGGTTGACTCCTTTCCCCTTCCCGATGGCACCTCCCTTGTTGACCTCGGATCTGGCTCTACAGAGGGAGCCACTCTATGATCTGACTTGGTACAGCAAGATGTCACTGTGGTACCCAATTCCTCACCTCCCCAGGGAGGTGCCACACTTTCCGAGTAGCCATGAGTACTCCAGTGCCAGCAACGAAGATTTGGTCCCCGTTGGTGGCCGCAGCGACAGTGGCCAGGGTTGTGGACCTGATACTTCAATTCCGCCGCTTCCTAAGGAGGCCTCCTTGTCATCGGAGGGGCAAAAGACCTCCCAGTTAGCATCTCGGTCCCCCAGCAAGAGATTTGAGGATGGTCCCAAACAGCTAGACCCAGAAGGGAAATCACCTCCTCCTTGTTTCCACTTCACGAAGGAGGACCTGCACTTCGTTCTTTATGGGGTTACTCCCAGCCTGGAACAGCCAGCCCGCTTCCACTATGCGATTTCCGGCTTACTCGTCCCCGCAGACAGTTCTGGTAAAGGGAGTTCACACCATCAGGAGTTGGACTGTATGGGAACAGGGTGGGAGCCAATAGGTTGAGAGTCAGCGGAGTGGGGGGTGTTAGGCTCTACTTAACTGCATAATCCCTAAGACTGGTTTTAGTAAAAGCTGAGGACCAGGAAAGAAATGGTTCATGCAGAAGCCTTGGGGGCGTGCAAGTTTCTATACTGCAGCCTCAAGTTCTGCATACTTGGTGCCAGTCTAGGGATCTACCTTGACCTTAATTAAGAATTATCTCCGGGCTGGGGTTGCGGCTCAGTGGTAGAGCACTTACCTAGCTAGTGTGAGGCTGGGTTCGATTCTCAGCACTGCATATAAATAAATGAGTGAAATAAAGGTTCATCAGCATAAAAAAAAAAAAAAAAAGAAAAGAAAAAGAATTAAAAAGAGAGAGAGAGAGAGAGAGAGAGAGAATTGTCTCCAAGGCTGGGGATATAGCTCAGTTGGTAGAGTGCTTGCCTTGCATGCACAAGGTCCTGGGTTCAATTCCCAGCACCACAAAAAAAGAATTATCTCTGAGTCTCAAGTTCGCAAAATGGAATTAATTACTTCCATGGAGGATTGCTTTGGGTCTCAGATGAGAGATTATGTATGAAAAGCTCATGGTAAAGAAGCAGGAAAAAATAATAAAGAATAGATAAACATCAAACTCAGTGATGATTTCCTCTAAAGAGTAAGGAGGGAAATTATAAAAGCATTTTCAATATATTTTTAATTGAAAAAAATTTTTAACCCTCCCTTTTTCCTAGGGTCTGATCATATTCCTCAAGTTCTGGATAAAGACTTCCTTCAGCTTCCAGAAGGTGGGAAGCAGTCCTTGCTTGGATTTCTTTCTCTCAACTAATATGGATCACTTTCCTTATTCATTTTTTTCCTGCCTTGGGTTTCTCCTAGGTCTCTGCATCATGCAGATGATGTTTGGTGAAATTCCACATTTTGGTGTGTTCTGCAGTAGCTTTATTGCCAAAGGAATCAGGTTTGGGCCCTTTGAAGGTAAAGTGGTCAATGCCAGTGAACTCAAGACCCACAGAGACAATTCTCTGATGTGGGAGGTAAATATCTTCTGGTGTGTCTGCTTTAAGTGGGGAGAGAGACTTGGAGGGAGAAACCTTGTCCTTTGCCTCTGCAATAGTCATAGGGAGAAGGGACAGCAGCTGCTCACTTCATCAGAGGCATCTCTGCATGAATTGTTTGATGTCCCAGATCATTTTAATCTGTGAAGATTAGCCATTGAATATACATGTAAATTTTTATTTAAAGAATTAATATGTTCTGTTATATTTGTAGAAAGACTAAATGCTTTAAATATTGTAGGGTGCTTAAATTATGCTGAAGGCAATAAAAGTGGATTTTAGACTTTGATATTGTTTACCTATAAAATTAGCAGAGGGTTTATGAATTGATACTCTTCAAGCTAGTGACAGTATATGGGGCGTGCTGGTGACACTGCACTTTGTTAATATGCAGGAGAAAACCATTTATAAGAACTACTAAGTATCTTAAAATGTTCAAAACACTTTCATGGGGCTGGGGGTGGGGCTCGGGCTCAGTGGTAGAGTAGTGCTTGCCTTGCACATGTGAGGCACTGGGTTCCATCCTCAGCACCACATAAAATAAGTAAATTAGTAAAACAAAGGTATTGTGTCCATGTTCCACAAAAAAAAAAAAAAAAAGTGAACTTGCTGTGCTAGCAGTGGAAAAAGAATTCAATTACGGCTCCATCCATATTGTTGAAAACTAGATAGAAATCAATCTGTTTTTAAGTGGTGGGGTTAAATGTTTACCTTCCCTCTTCACGAAATTAACATAGGCTTACAAAATTTGGGAATCAACAAAGCCATAGGACTGGGTGTGGTGGCATATGCATAGGATCCCAGTGACTCTGGGAGGCTGAGGCAGGACAATCAAAAGTTCAAGACCAGCCTTGACAACTGATTTTGAGACTGTATCTCAAAAAATAAAAAGGGCCGGGGATCTGGGG